GGAGAAAAACCAAAAAAAAAAAAAAAAAAAAAAAAAAGTAGCGCTGTATTGGTTTCTGTTTTGAATGTAAATAGGTAAAGTGTAATAAGTAATTCTAGGAAGGCTTACGAGTGTTTTTAAAGTATCTAATAGCTACATTGAAATAAATAGAACTGTAGAGTAAATAATTGCAGCAGATCAATGTATTACACTCAAATTATATGCAAACAGCAAATTCTTAAAAAGTAAACGTCACTGCACAACTTTTGGAAAGTATGATATTTTATGTATAAATGTTAGTGTATTAGAACGTAATGTAAATGTGAATTGCTTTAAATAAAGTATACTCCAGGTACCTCTGGACTGCTGCATTTTTTTATCTTACCACAATTTCACGACTGCTCAGACCCATTTCAAAGGACTAGCCAGGATGGCCTTGCTAACATCACCGTCTATCTGTTTTACGAACAGGCAAGCATTTGAGATCTCTAAAGGACAGAGTTGGCGAGACTTGGAAGGTAAGAGTTTGGCTGTATAGGAAATCGGCACTCAAAATGAAGGGGGTTTTCTCCTCATGCCGCCTCAGCGTGCCTTTTCCAGCTCCACAGCTCACGGAGATCCGTGCACTTCACACACGGGTCTGCAGCGCCTTCACCTTCCCGGGAGAGCTTGTGAACTCGCGCCTGTGGCTCTCGGCCCCTTGTCCCCAGCTAGCGTTTGCCCTGTTCCCTCCCCGGCGCTCGCGCAGCCAGGGTGTCCCCCAGACAGACTGAACTCCAGACGGGTGCTCGGTCTCCGTCTGTACCCTCAGTGCCAGCGCGGCGCTCGCCGCAGGCTGCATGAACTGGTTTGCGCCCACTCCTCTGTGTCAGCTGCACTTCTCCCCTGACTTCCACAGACTTCCCGAAAGTGAGTCAACCCTGAGTTACATCAGTGAATAAACGGCGAGGACTCTAAATGCTTCTGTTTCCTATAAGAAAACAAAACCGGAGCATTCCAGCTTAAAATCAGTTCATCCAACAAAAACTCAAACTGGAACCTAAACTGCGTGGATATTCTTTAATAAATCTCACCTTAACGGAAGTACGAATTCCCAGTCGCAGCACCCTACGCTGTAAGGATAGTTTCTCCGGTGCCTGGCGTAATCACGGAGTTTGAGTTCCAGTGAATTATTAAGCCAGCTTTGTATTGCAAATTGTTCTCAGCACAATTTCTCAAATGTGCAACATGTGTACTCTGTATACTTTCTCATGTCTTTCGAGCACAATTTCCATTTAATATTTGTCTTTCTGAAAAACCAATGTTTGTAGAATTTCCGTATGTAAGAGCAAAATTCCTCGAGTATGGTTGAACTAGTAGCGGTAGGGGGTACGAAATCATGGTAATTTATCGCTTTGCAGTTGTATAGTCGTGCAGAGTGTCCATTAGAAATGGAGCCTGCTTTCAGGCCTGCAGACTTCACAAAGCCCGCATTATGCAGCCTTAGTACAAATAAAGGAAATGGCTGCATGAGCAAATGGCAAACAGGCACTTATCTGTTCCATTTTTGCATGAAGAAAGGAAACATTAGATCTAGGTCGAGTAAAAGCGTTTAGCCAACTCTGGACGTACTGCTCTGCACCTTTTTTTCAGACCGTGGTGGGCTGTGAGGATCTGTCCCCATGCATTCTCGGAAAGAACATTTTTGTGCGTCCCGGGCCTGAGCATGTGTTTGTGGAAGTCCCTTCCTTCCTTCCTTCCTTCCTTCCTTCCTTCCTTCCTTCCTTCCTTCCTTCCTTCTTTTCTTCCTTCCCTCCTTCCTGCCTTCCTTCTTCCCTCCCTCCCTCCCTCTTTCCCTCCTCCTTTTTCTTTCATGTATTTCTTTTCGAGACAAGGTCTCACGGTGCACTTCAGGCTCGCCTTGTAGCCCAGGCTGGCCTCAAACTCGTGGATCCTCCCGAGTGCTGGGATTACAGGCATGCGCCACCGTGCCGGGCAAGAGAGTCCATTCTTGATGAGATCTGTGTTTTTTTCCCTGAGCTCCTAGTTACAACTAAGATACTTAATTTGGCGGGGTGGGGGTGGGGGGATACTGAGAATCGAACTCGGGACCTTGTGCTTGCTAGGCGGGCGCTTAGCCCCTGAGCTATATCCCCAGCCCATCTCCTAGTTACAGCTGCCATGCGCGGGGAGGGGCCCTGCGACCCTCACTGGGTGACCAGTGGGCAAGGCCTTGTGTCCTGTCTGCAATCGCGTTCTCTCCGTGCGTGTGGTGCGGGCACGGGGGTTCCCGCCACAGGCTTGTCACAGGCACCGCTGCTTATTCGGTCACTGTGGCTCAGAAATGCGCTAGGTGTTGAGGCCCATGAGGTCCTTCAAATCCCGAGTGCCCACAAGAAACATTTTCACCAGGCCCAACGGATCATGATCTAAGCACACTGCAAGGTGCGATAGTGGAATTAACAGAAGTAAAGAGGCTTCTCTGCCTGCCCCGCCGCCCCAGTACCGGGAATCGAACTCACGACTTTGCGTTTGGCGGGCAGGCGCTGTGCTACTGAGCTAAATCCCCAGCCCCTGGAATTAACAGAAGTAAGGAGGCTTCTCTGCCCCGCCACCCCCACCCCGCAGTACCTGGAATGGAACTCAAGACTTTGCGCTTGCCAGGCAGGTGCTTGCCACTGAGCTAAATCCCCAGCAACCCCCCCCCCCAACTTTTTTTAAATAAATGAGCAGTGGGGGTTTTCTTTAGCAGTTGGGGAAAACAACAATCTTTCCGATTTTACAAAAGAACAAGACAGCCACACAATAAACGAGCATTCTAACCTAGCAAGCAGAGAAGCCTCACTGTGTTGGTATGTGTTAGAAACCTCAAACCACTGCTTAAACATTACCGTCTTAATTATTAGCTGCTGAACCACGTGTGCTGCGGCTCCCAGCTCCCAGCAGAAAAGGGGCCGCGCTCCACCTGCCAGAGCTGCCTGAGGCAGGGACCAGGTGACATGGACACAGCTTTGTTTTGTTTGGATGCCAGGGATTGAAGCCAAGGTCTGGCGCTTGCTAAGCAGATGCTGTACCACCAAGGTACACCCCAGCCCCTACCCAGACCGCTTTTGATGAAGAACCAATCAGTTTATCAAACACAAGTGACAGGTGACCTGAGATTGCAATTAATAGTTTGTGCTGATCTCAGATACGGCCGCTGTCTTTCAGGCGTGAGCTCTGGATTTATTTGTCAAATAAGCAACGAGAAGCTCCCATTACTCGCCCTGTGCCTTGCTGACTTCGGAGCCTGTTCGGGGCTATAGGCTACGGCAGCTCTGCCCCAGCGCAAAGTGGCTTCTCAGGCCGTCTGTGCTAAGGAACTAATTTGAATCTCAGCAGAACCCCTGCCCCCAGGCCTGTGAACACTTAGATTTGACCCAGGTTTTAATATCTCTGCTGCTGTTTAATCCGAGAACACAAGACCTGAAGAAAGATGTGAGAACAGCAAACAAAAGCAAGTGTAAGGTCTCAATGCAGACTGGCTTAACCCAGGGCGAGATTACGCTTTACATAATCCTTATGGGAACGAGAGCAGTCTATTTAAAAAGTCATATTCAGAAATATGTTAATATAGGTAATTCCTTTGGGTTTAATTAAAATTCCTCTATCAATAGCATAACTTGAAACTGGAGAACATAAAGTGAAAAATTCAGACACCTTTACCTTTTGATCAAGGGTCAGGCCAGAGCCAGCAAGCTGCCCGTTTTTGTAAGCAGCACGTTCCTGGCACACAGGCGTACCCCAGCCCGTCGGTGGGTGATTCCACACCATGACAGTGATGCAGTGGTGAAAAAGATTACTCTACGGCTTTCAAAGCCTTAAATATTTACCTTCAGACCCTAACTAGGGGACATTTGCAACCCATGTGTTTGAGAATTACAAGTATGTGTATTCTACCCCGTCAAAGTATGCAGGCCCGTGGGACCACACGCGCACTCCGGAGTGCGGTGCTTCCTTTCCTGGCCTCGCCTGCCTTAGCCAGGGCTTTAAATGAAATGGGCCCATAGACTCGGGATGGCAGGCATGGGCCGCGCTGGCCTGTGGGAAAGCCCCCTGGGGGCAGCGAGCGTGATGAGCCACTGGTCCAAAAAGAAAAGGCTGCCTCCTGAACTGCAGCAGCCTCAGCCTGGGCCCCTCGCGCCGCTGCGGCTCAGCATCCCACAGCCTGCTGGGACCCGCGGCAGCAGCCTCTGCAGACCGAGGGGTGAACTCACCGGAGGTCCTAGTGTCTGGCTGGCAACCCTCACCGCACCCCGGAGTCCCCCGGAGGACGAAAGGATCCCTCCTGCCCCTGCTCCTTCATTCAGGCCTCCAGCCGTCATGTGACCAGAGCAGGGGGCCGGGGAGAGCTGGTGGGCCGGAGTGGGGGTGCGGGGCAGCCTGGCTGCAGGGGGAGGCGGGGGCGGGGACGTGAGATGGCCCCACACACGGGACTGAGGAGGTGAGTGGAGAGAGGAGGCCGACGGAAGCCGGGTTTCTCACCAGTGAAAAGCGCTATGCACAGGGAAAGGGAGAGAATGAGAATCAGCTCTGGTGCTGGATGGGGCCTGGATGTCATCATGTAAATACCCGTAGTGTGGGTACGCACGCGTGCGCGCATGCGCCCGGACGCATCCCGTAACCTCGCGGGGAGCAGCGATGCCCACCAGCGCGGCACACGTGCGTCGCTCAGACACTGGCTGCTAACTAGCACGGTCCACTGAAAGGAACCCAGACGAATCCAACTGCAGCGTTTGGGTGGGAAAGTACTCAACGAGCCTGCAACACTTCACCGTGTCACAAGGTCCGAAGGGAACGGTGGGGAAAGGTCAAAAGGGTGCAGAAGCCAGCCTGAAGGGGCGCCCGCTGGCCAAGTCGGGAACCATTTCAGCATCAAAATTAAAGACAGTAAACCAGGTGTGGTGCATAGTTACAATCGCGGTACTCAGAAGGCTGAGGCGGTAAGATTGCAAATTCAAGACCTGCTTAGACAGTTTAGCCAGACCCTGTTTCAAAATTAAAAAAAAAAAAACAAAACAAAACAAAAAAAACTTAAAAAGGGTTGGGGGTGTAGCTCAATGGGAAGGCCCTAGGTTTGTTCCCAGTAACACACACACACACACACACACACACACACACACGACAGTAGTTGTTGGGGCTGGCAGCACACATTTATAATCTCAATTTAAAAGACTAAGACAGAGCCAGGCATGGCGGCGCACGCCTGCAATCCCAGCACTTGGAAGGCTGAGGCAGGAAGATCGTTGCGAGTTCGAGACGAGCCTGGGCTACAAAGGGAACTCAAGGCCACCCTGAACTGCATAGAGAGACCCAGTCTCAAAAAGACAAAAAGACAAAAAA